CCTTGAATTCCTGGAGAGGCACCTCGCTTCTCCTGCCTCCTTCTAAGCTCTCCACTTGAGTTTGCACAAGATTATACTTTGATTGCACAAAAGGATCCTTTTATGGAATTGGTATTTTCTGTTCAGTAAATTGCTTGAGAAAAATGATGTAGGAGATCCAGGAATGTTTAAGCTACATCCATGTGGCTAACATTTATTGAGGGCTTAGCATGTAGGATGAACGTGCGTGTGTGGCACCCAAGATCTGATCAATGCTCACCCACACAAGCCCTCTGACATTTCCTTCCCCCTGTCCTCTTCCTTCTTTCCCCACTTGCAGGTGAGGAAATTCAGGCTCAGAAGGCTACAACAACTGGCTGGATTTACACAGCCATTTGCCGGGTTCATACCCTGTCTGTGAACGCATGACTTCCGTCTTCCATGTCCCTACCTATCCTGGGAAGAGGGAACAGTCACGCAGACTCTCTGCTATGGAGTCTGCCGTGGACAGGGCCGTTCTGCTCTGTTGGGGAAAAAGGATACACCTTTTGCTTTCGTCGGTAGATTTCTCATGAGAGGCTTTAGCTAGGGAAAGCTTTTATGGCATGTGGAGAAAATATGCACACACACACACACACACACACACACCCCACACACACAACACAGTAAAGAAAAGTTGAAAGACATTTTAAAATATCTCACTCTTTAAATAATTTTCAGAGTCCAGTACCAAGAAGGAATAGTTCTGTTTTTCTGTTTGTAAGTCTAATCCTTTTATTTCATTTCACAGTTATATCTATGAGCTAGCAAGAAGGCACCCCTTCCTGTATGCACCTACAATCCTTTTTCTGGCTTCTCAGTATGACAAAATGATTCCATTCTGCTGCAAAGCTGACGATGCTAGTGAATGCTTCCAAACGAAGGTAGGTTTACTTGGATATTTGCTTGATCTAGAAACCTAGATCATAGCCTGGCTATGGCTAGGACTCCTTACAATGAAACAAAGCTAAAATAGAAATATACTTCTATAGGTTGAGCACTGCTTTCAAAATAGAATGTATTTCAGGTGTTTGGTATTATTCATGAAAAAATTAGATTTTCTTTTTGCATGTGCTTGCTCAGTCATTCAGCCAACAATCATCTGATTGTTTAGAACATGTGTTTGGCAGGATGAAGAGGGACAGATGATTAGAAAATGGAAATAAGAGAGGAGTAGGAGGCAAAAATATGAAGTAAATATAGAAGAGGGAGAAGAAATAAGGAGGAGAAGGAAAGACAGAGAAAGTAAAAGATGCTGAATCCATTCTATGCTTATTTATCTTAATATTTGTGACAACTTGGAGGGATAAGCCATATTTTTATTTAA